TGCAGCCAGTTCAACAGGGAATATTGCATGCTAAGTGTTTGGCTCCCAGTCACAGATGGGGAAGAGGAGCAATTTCTCTCACATTCCTGTGCTTTGCTTTGTGTTCCCATTTTGTTCTTTCACTAGAGAGAGCAGGACTCTCTTATGTTCACTGTAATGGAAACGAGATGTCCAGCTCCAGTCTCAAATCTTTAAGTCCAAGGGAAGGAGCCAGTGAGTTTGGGCAAGGTCCTGTCAAATGCATTTGGACTCTTTAATCCTGCTGCAGTCTTTTTGAATCCCATTTATTGGCTTTGGTGAGTTTTGGCTGATTTAGCTAATTTTGTCATCACCATCTAATTATTTTATAACTGTAAAAGTGTTGTGTATGTGTAAATAAGTATCTAAGTAAAATTCCAGAGTAACAGACTATAATCTAAATAGAATTAGAATAGACTTTGCATTGATTTAAAATCTTCTATTAAACACTAACTATTTCATTAGTTCTCTTAAGTACTCACTATGAAAAGATCTGCTCATTCCCTCTAATGAAACTGTGTTGAGTGTTATATTTGCTTCAATAAAAAACCCATGTGGTTTCAAAATGCTGTTGCATTCTGCTGAGGACTCCCTCCCCTTCCAAGGAATATACATGGCACTGCTCACATTCTAAATATTGTGAGTTTTTCCCAACCTGCACCCAGCTGGAGAAGTCCTTATAATAAGATTATGCCTTTTCTATTTCTGTGAGTGGTTTTGGGGGTTGGGGTTTTTTTGGTTGGTTTTGTTGGAGGTTTTTTTGTCTTGTTTTTTTCTTTCCAGCAGTATTGCTGGTTCAAAGGTGCCAAAACCTAGGCCAGAAAAGATTATTTAAGGGGAAAACAGCGCTTAGAAACAGCTGAGAAGGTTTGAATTGTCATTCTTTACTTTCTGTCTTTTTATTTATTTAGATCTTCTGTGATATGTGTGGGTCACATTTTCCTGCAGTTCTCTAATACTGAGGAGGCTTAGAATTATGGTTTATGAATTTTAATGAAAGTTGAGATTCTTATGTAATCATATGCTGGGACTTTAATTAAATAACCAAATAGGAGAAGAACTGCATTTAGAAAGGCAAGAGCTGAAGATGCTAATTTTTCAATGTCTTTGTTCTACTTTAACATGGATATCTCAGATATTTAATGCAGACAGGGCTTTATACCATTCCTTACTCCTTTGCAGGTATTGCTGCATTATTGAACATTAGTTTTACAACCACAAAGCCTAAAAACTTCATAGTGTTTCTAGCAAAAGCCTGAGTTTTAGAGCACAGGCTACCACCCTAAATGCTCAAAGTGAACTAGCCCCTTTTCACTTCTCTTTTTCTGCCTGTGACTGTGATTTTGGTGTTGGTGTCTTTTCCATTCCCACCTCCTCTTCCCCTGACAGTGCTCACACTCAGATGGGTTGGGGGAGTCCATTTTCCCTGGAAACCTCTAAGTCCTTTATTATGGTAGCTTTAGTGAAGCCCATGTTTTTGTGCATTTGTGAACGTGCAGGAGTTGTTCTTGTTCCTAAAATCTGCTTGTGTCTTTAAATGTTAAAACTGTCAGAGCTGGGTTTCCAGGACAGTTTCAGATGAAATGTAAAGTAGCTCCTTTCCTTCTGAGAGAGACTGCACACATTTAATCTGTGTGGGAGTTTGATTTTGCTTTTTATCCCTCCTTTTCTGCTGCTGGTACACTCAGTCTTAGTTGCCTGGTCAGTAAGAATGATAAATTTGATGCTGTGAAGCTGTTTACCATCACTCTGGACCAAAGTGATTCCAGAGAATTTTTTAGAGGAGGTCGTGGGGTGTGCTGCAAACTCTTCTATTAGTGATAAACATAAATCCCCCTACTTCCAAATGTGGTATTATGTCTGTATCTCTGTTTGCGTGCATGCATCAATTAAACAGTTTATTATTTTCTTTTTTAATTATTTCAGGAGGTTGACTCACTCAAGTGGATTTATGCACACTCTGTTTTTCCAAGTTTTTGTAGGTTTGTTGTTTGGTTTGGTGTGGTTTGGGGGTTTTTGGTTTGTTTGTTTTTAATACTGTTTTCTTCATCTATTGATTTCTGTAAAGCTTGTGAAAATCATGATTTCCAAGTAGCCTAATAGGTCAGGCATACTTGTTTTCCTCCTTTTCGTACTCCAGCACTTACAGTTTGTTCATTCAAAGAAAATCTTTCCCAGGTTCAGAAGTAATCAAGCACAGCGTGGCTTGTTGAGCTAAAGGGTGTCATACCAAGGCAATCATCCTTCTGTAGGATGTTGGCCTGGCAGAGATCCTGCTACAACTGCTCTATCTGTTTGCTTTGCTTTCTGTCTTAAAGCTTGAGGTCTTTTTCTAAGTGTGATGTCCTTTTAATTTCCTTTTTTCCTCCTTCACTCCTTTGTTACTATGGACCACTGCAGATATTCCAAGAACATTCAAGTATGATATGAGCACTGTCTTCTAGATTGTGAGGCAGAAATGCATTTTAAAGCCAAGTAAGATTTTATAAAAATGGCAGGAAAAGAGTGGCTTCCTAGGTCATGAATTTTACTATCATGCTTGAAAATGGCTTAAAATTGGCAAAGGTCTGTTGTCGTCCTAGAACTGTTCCTTTGCTTCCTTGTGCTCATTGTTTCACCCCATGACAGCTGTGACAGCCCACAGGGTTAACTCAGAAGGGCATCCTGGCACAGGGAGAGAGAACAGTGGTGTGGAAATTACAGTGGGGAAAATGGATCTGTCGGAAAAAATACAAACGTGGCTGATGCCACAAAGGCGCATTTGTAGAGAAATTAAATGGAATGAGGGTTGTGTCATTTGCTATGAGGAGTTTGCTTATAAAATTGGGATGCAATAAGCAAGGGGTCACACTGTTGGTTCCAATGCATTTGTGACTTGTTGCTTTATTGGGGACTTTGGCCTCACTTCCATAAGTGATGTTGATAGTTAGACGTTGGGAAATGGAGCAAGGGTGAGTTGTTACAGCCTTCGGAGTCATTTTTCACTGTAACATTGGCTGCTGCTGCAACATCCAGTCTGTGAAGCATCCCAGAATTGCCCACACTGGATAGAGGAGCATGATTAGAGATAGGGAAACAAAAGGCACCTGCAAGCTGGGGAGGAAGAGGAGCAGCAGATCAGAGCAGGAGCTGGCTATAGGGCTGAAAGCTCTCTGTAGAGATGTGAAGCACCAAGCAGGAACAGGGAACAGTGTGAACAAACCATACCTGAAGAATGAATGTTTAGGAGGACTTGATTTGGGTTTGGGGATTGAGTAACCACCCCAGGTCATGTCAGTATGGTTTCCTGGGATTGGCTGGACTGGGAGCATCCCTACACTTGGTGTACCTCCTCTAGTGGGAACAACAATGCCAAGCTTGACCCTTGACTGTACTGCTTATTTTTGGTGGCAATAATAAAGCAGCCCTTTGCTTTTCAGTGAACTATGGATTCAGTGAGGGTAGGAGCATGCAAAACCTGGAAGGAGTTTTCTTATGCTACAGTTGGTTTTGAAGGTGTGGTATGTGCTGCCAAATGCCTGTAGAGCCTGGAGAACCACAGTGGTCATAGGCAGGCCTGTAACATTAATACTTTTTCCTTAAGTGTGAAATAACAGGCATATTTTTTGTGCTAATTTCACTGGTAGGAAGCTGTAGGTAAAGCTGTAGGTATCATGCTGGGAATCACAGGTGGTCAGACTCAAGCTAAATTAATTTCCCTTTAGCCCAGTAAATTAAGAAGGTGGGAGTTACTTCCTCACAAGGCATAGGGGCTGAGGAGTAAAACTGAAGAGGTTTTCTCAGTCCAGAGTGGCAGGAGCCTTGGAGGAAGCACAGGTATGAAGGTTTTGGCTGAGATTCTGTGAAAATATAACCCTTGGTAGATGCATCTCTTTGTACTTTTTGCATGCTGGTCATTTACTGAGAGGCCAGCTTTCATAAACATCAAATCTTGGCTTTGCACCAGTAGTGAGCAAACATAACAGTATAGAGGAGTAAACAGGGAAACCTGGCACAGCCAGTGTTTCCACCAACAGTGTATGGAAAAGGAAATAATTACACTAAAATGCGGAGGCCAGTCATGAGGCCGTATCAGGTAAAAATATGGTGTGACATTTCTGATCTCTGATGCCTATCTGCATGCATGGTTTGTCTCTAGTTATGGAGGTAGATTGTTGTAAGTAATAACTTAAAATTTCCTTGGAAAAGGAAAGGATAAGTAGGAACAGTTGATGGAGAAGATAAAAAAACCTCATCATATGAGGTGCATGCAGCTTTCCTCATTTTTCAAAGGAGTTTTAATCTCTTGTCTTGGAATGAGTGTTTTGGAAACATGTTCTGCAATAAGCGTAGGTTGTAAATCTCCTCCTCTGACCTGGGAGAAGGCATTTTCTTTGGGAAAGAATGTTGGGACAAAAGAGCAAGAAAATATTAATAAGTGTAAATCATTACATGTCACATTAACCCTCCTGTCGTTCATTCATATGGTTTTATATTTGCATTAAGCAATGCTTGTGTGCATAGGAACAAACACTATTCAGAAGAGATCTCTGAGTAGCTGTAAAAAAAAGCCATAATTCAGTGGAGAAACAGATCTAAAGCTGTCACTAACTATCGTGCTTGGTATAAAACATACAGTGCTGTTTAATCAAATGTCCCCTGGTTTTGGTAATTTCCTTGCTGTTATATCATCTGTCCTTCTGCCAGATCAGCATTAAACATCTGGCTAAAGTTTAATCTATGGCAGTGGGAATTTTATTGGCATGAGCAGTGATGTGATGCCGAATGTGTTTTGGCTCTGAATGTAAAGGTACAATGTGATAGTAACAACTCCCAAATCTTTTCATCCTCATTACGAACCTAAAAGCTGTGTGAAATAAATGGTAAAAGCTAACCTGCTTTTTTAAAGAAAATGTGTCATGGATATAAAAGCATGAATGTTTCAATTAAAGCTAATAAGTGCAATTTATCTCTTACCTCTGCTTTTCTTTGGTTTTCAGCTCATGGGGCATTCTGAATGGGATCACAAACGAGGACCCAGAGGCTCACAGGTCAGTTACTCAGCATCTTGTGTTTCATTTTGGCTTTTGGTAAATTTGAGGCATTCGAGAAAGTTTTCCATCTGACGCTGGCAAAGTTGTTCGTTTTGTTAATATTTGCAGGATTGAATCAATGGAACAAAGCATAAAACCATGACAGCTTTCATTAATATAATTTTTGAGCTGTGATCCAAACAGGTGATTCATACAGAGCTGATACACGCAACAGAAGGTTTCTTTAAGTAGCAGAAAGATGGATTAGATGTATTGAGAAAGCATTTCTTGCTCATCTGTCTCCATCAGGACATCAAAGGGATGCAGTTTCAAATAATATGTGTATGTTTTGTGTTTGATGGTTTTTTTTTTTCAAACCTGACAAACTTGTAAAACTTGGATAGCCCTCTCACCACTAATCTTTTTGTTATTGAACAAGGTGTTAGAATTGTGTGGGGAGGTGCAGGAAAGCCATGTGTAGCTACTGGTTCATCCTTGACACATCACTGAAAGGAAATTTTGCTAGTAGTGTAAATGGCATCACCTGATAAATTTTTTAATTATCTATAGAATTACAATTGCTGCGAATGAGACTTTGCTACCAGTATTGGTGTTCAGGAATTTTCCTGCTTGGGTAAAGCAGTCTTTCCCATCTAGTGTTGAAATTATATAAGTTAGGGATCTGGTATTTTGGAATTGCTTTTACTTGAGGTGAAGGATTTTTATATGGATACCTTGTACAACGATCCAGACGTGCCATAGAAATGTTAAAGGATCTATAACAAGGTGGGAAAAGAAAATCCTAGAATCGTAGAACAGTTTGGGTTTGGAAGAGACTTTAAAGATAATTTTGTTCCAAACTCCCTGCCATTCACAGGGACACCTTTCACTAAACCAGGTTGCTCAGAGCACCATCCACCCTGGCCTTGAACACTTGCAGTGACAGGGCATCCACAGCTGCTCTAGGCAACCTGATCCAGTGCCTCACCACCCTCACAATAAAGAATTTCTTCCTAACACCTAATTTAAACCTACTCTCTTTCAGTTTGAAGCCATTTTCCCTTGTCCTATCACTACAGTTCCTGATAAACAATCCCAAAATGACTCAAGATCTCTGATTACTGCGTGCTATCCTAGTACCCAGTCACAAGAAGCAAGGAAGAAAAGTTTCATTAGAGGGAAGAAAATAAGCCTCAGTTATTCCACTGTAGCCTCAGATTATCTCTTTTACATGGCTCTGAATATTGTGTTGATAGAAAGAGTGTTAAACCTAATTTAAGTAGTTCCCTGAGAGGTTATCGGAAATTTAGAAGGTTCTGATTTTTACCCTTAATATAAAAGACCTGTTTTATCCTTTTGTGGTTCTGTTGCATTGTTGCCAGCTTGAGTCTTTAATAAATGTACCCATTGTTAAACAAGATGTTGCTTAAAAATGAAGGTGAGGGATGTGTTAGGTATACTTCTGCTTCAAACCTAACACATCAGGTGTTTAAAGTGGCAGTTACCTGCAGGATCTGCCACAGGGTTGCTTATGGTGTTTCCCTAGGTCAGGAGGGCTTTCCATCAGCACAGAAATGGGACCTGGGAGAAGAGGGCTCTCCTGGACAGTGGTAGTGCAACCTGTGCTGCCCAGCAAGCAGTGAGGGGAGAGTAGGGAGCAGGAAGGGATTTAAGGTTAGGTTATTGGGAGGCAATTTATTAATCTTCTATGATCTTTTAATTCATGCAGAGTAATGAGAGGAAAGTGGGAGGATAGATCCTAGGAAGCCACCTATGTATGTGAATGTTAGAAACGTTGCTTGTGAGAACAGGAGGTGGAACCACTGGTTTACTTAATGCAAAATTAAAATCCACATACGAACTCATAAAGTTATTCTTCCGAGAGTCATTGAAAAAGCTCTGATCCAGTGAAGATTTTTTTAAGAGCAAGTAGGTTTTCTATGGCATGTGTTGAAACATGAGAGCAAACTACTACAGTGCATGTCACACTTCTTAATGACCCACTTGGAAAACGTGTTCCTTTCTGCATGTAGGAGTTAAATGCAAAGTGTTGTAGTTACAGGTAGTGATGGATGTCAAATGAAATACAGCAAGGCTTGTGGGAATTTCTGTTTGCAGGAGTTTGTCTCGTGATAAGCATCTGCAATTCAATAGAATGTAAATGGGACAAGTAAAAAGCTGTCTTTACAATATTTAACTTGCTCCTGACTTCTACACCGTCATTACACTTCCCTTTTTAATATATTGCGTGCGTGCACACACACATACATATATATCTGTATGTGTGCATGTTGTAGGATTCCTTTTCTTTTAGAATAATTATACTATTAAGGTTGCTGTAATTAGAGTGAATTATAGGTTGCCTTGCAAAGATCAATGAGTTCCTGGCTATCTACTTGGGGTTTTTTTCCTTCCCTTTTTCTTCTCTGAAGACAACACTTCCTTCTGTAAGTGCTTCACGCAGAGAATTTACTCTATGGATTTGAAATCAAACAGAAAGGGCAAAGTGAATTTGATTCTGTTCTATCCTTAATTTGCAAACTTAAAACAGGCTAGAATTTAGAATTTAGGCTTGAAACTTCAAAATTGAATTCCAAATTAAAGAAATTCCTGAACATTTAATCCACCTAAAGAAATCTCTCTCAAATATACACATGCAGTCTGTAGAACTACATCGTGTCACTCATGTGAGGGGAAAATATTCATACCCATTTGTAATGTCAGCACATGCTACAAGAAAATGTGACTAGCAGAATTCATCCTTGGCATATTATTGCTCTGCAGAAAAATTATGCAAATTGTATTTTAATCATTCTACTGAAGCACGGTACTTGATACTTCTAAGATGTTTCAGGTGGGATCCACGGCACGCTTTGTGCACACGTTTTTACGAGGGACCTTGAATGTGTGGGAGTAATTTGTTGCTCTGTCATCAGGACTTGTTTGGCTTGCTGGAGATGTAGGCGTAGCCCCAGGAGTCAGTGGAATCGAGCGATTGTTCCTCCGGCATTGTAAAAGAATGAGAGAGAAACACGGGTCCAGCGCTTTTAATTCTCTTTAAATATAAAAGCTCTCAATTATATATCTGAGGTGCTGCATTTTACCCCTCCAGTTCCTAAGCAACAGCTATTTTCAGATTGAGTGCGTCTGGTGTTGTCTACCTACTTCAGGCTTTTACGAGGTGGCTCGTCAGTGGAAGCTTGGCTGTTCTCTGTCTCCACTGACTCCCTTTGTCGTGGCACTGTGAGGAGACAGATGCTTTAGAGAAACGCGAGAAGCTCGGGTGTAACCGCTCTCAGCCTTGCAGCTCACAAAAACTTGTGTACATCGGGGAGCTCTCTCATCTGCAATGAAACACAGGAGTCAGAAATAAGGTTCTTGACACTGGTTTGGGAGAAGCCTTTTTCTCAAGTCTGGAAAAAGCCTCTAGAGCAGATTCGAAACCATGAGCCGGAAATCTCTGTACTTGCTGAAGCGTAGGTGGGAGTCGATTCCCGCTGCTGACCAGGTACAGTGCTCTGGTGAACCTGTTGTGTCTCTGTCTACTCTTGCAGTGCCACTGTAAAGAGTTTTACATTGATTTGATGGGGGTGGTTGGGGTCCTCTGCACACAGAGAGAACCAGCTGATTATGACTTGTCATTTCCATGATAAATACTGCAAAATGTTCATAAAGCTGATTTTGCAGGAGCGTGTGCTTGTGAATGTGGAGATGCCATGACAGCCCACTAATGCAGACTTATTTAACCAACAGAATCTTCCTGTCTCAAAAATGAGACTTTTCTAAAGGCTTTAGGAGTGTTTTAAAGTGAGGGGCTAAGGAAAAGTGTAGTCTACTGTTAAAGGGTTCCTCGGTGCATGTCCTCGGTGCATCTCATATCTTACACATCTGTATGTATGTATGAAACCACGGATGCACTGGCAGAACCTCAGCGTTTTCAGGATCATCTTGGTCGATGCGTCATTGCAAGTATGGTTAACAAGGATGAGAGTAAAGCAGGTGTAAACAGAAAATCTGTAAACATCTGCTGGGCAAAGCAGATGTAAAAATTGTGGGATGCTTTGTTTGGAGCAAGCGTTGTCACCATAAGTAGGGCTAAGATGAGATGAATGGGAGTACTTCTTGATCCAGGCACTCCAGGATTCTCTGAATTTTTTTTTCAGTATCTTACTTGGTATGTAAAGACACTAAAAAAAAAAATAATTCGAGAAATAATGTTGTAAGGGAAGTGGAGGTGTTTGCTTAGTACATGTTTCAGCTCAGTTTTCTGTTTATAAAACGGTTGACTATGAAGAAGTGCACTTATCAGTGATAAAGAGGAAATTCAGGGGAAAATTCTTCAACAGAAAGAAGGATGGAACATCAAAAATGCTTCCCAGTTTTTGAGAAGCATCCTTCTCTACACTTTTTTATTGAGAAAAGGAAGGGAAAGGCAAATTACATGCCATGTTTTATAGAATTGTAGAATTTTAAAGCTAAATTAGACCACTGAGAACATCTAGGGATCTCAGACCTATTACTAGTCAAAAAATACTATGTCACATCATAATTCACAATAAAATAATAAGGCATAGTTGATGAATGCCTTTCTGTTGTATTGAAATGGAATTGAATTGATCCAGTTCAGTCAGACTCTCTAAAATCTCCTGGTAAAAGAGGGGTAAATAAATGCTCTCTGATGAAGTGAGTAATTTGTAATCTTGTTTCTATTAAGATGTAGAGACACAATGTTTTCAAAGGAAAGCTGTATTTCAGCCTCACTTTTCCAGCGTTTCTTTTTCATTTTAATCACTGTAATCTAATGTTGCATTGCATCATACTGTGTTACAGTATGATGGGTCTGAGAAAAATAAGTATTCCTTACCTAGGTGTGAGGTGTGCTTGACTGCACTGAGCTGTGGATCTGTTCCATCATCAGTCCCTCAACCCTTCTGGAGGGTTTTAAAAAAGGAAACTTCCCTGACCCATGTATCACTTTAGGAGAGTGAGACTCAGTAAGTGATGCACATAGATGGGGT